ACAGATAGTGCACACGACCGCTCTCCGACTTCTGTGCGTCCATGCCAAAAACATCATCTGATTATTGCCATGCGTCTGGACTCAGCGCATGAATCATATGGCTCTGTGAAAGCGCTTAGCATCAGTTCAGAGCCGTCAGTGGGAGATCCTCTCACAAAGCGTGTCTTTGTTACTGCTTCTTGCGCTCTAACACAACCCCAAATGCCCCACTGAGGCTCCCAGCTCCCCAGTGACTCGGGTACAAGCTGTGCTTTTTCAAAAACCAAATATATCCAGCCGTACATATATCCACTGTTGAAATGTATGGAGATATATATTCTTGTCGGTCTGGAATGGCACGTATCCAGAGTTAGCTAGAAGTTTGAGGTTTGTTAGGGTGCGTTTAACTGTGTGAGTGCACAGAAAATTGGTAATATGCAGCTAGATAAATGTAAAATTTATAATAGGATGCTACAGGTGTGAAGATAAATCATGTACTGTAATAATTCAAATTACATAACTTAATTGTTTTCCCACGTCCATAATGTTTTTACAGCTAAAGTGTGTAATTTTTGCAGCATTAAATGGAATTGTAATGGAAAAAACAGTGCATTGTAATTGTAATAATAATTTTTTTAACCAGTTTCAAAGCACTTCTGACTTTGAAATATGTTCTTTCTGTATATGTCAGTTGTGGTTAATGAGCTTAAAGTAAACCAGCATTTTCATCTCTTTTTTAACTCACTATTTGGGTGTACTCCATAAATTGAAAGCATTTATACATAAAATGTAATCTCAAAAGGCAAAATAAATTTGTATTTTTTGAGATGGACGCTGGTTGAAATTCATGCTTTCATGAAAACTCATGAAATGCATACTTTTTGATGCATTAAAATGGTCAAAAGTGACATAAAACACTTACATTGTTACTATATATATATATATATATATATATATATATGTGTGTGTGTGTGTGTGTGTGTGTGTCAAATCTATTTTTTTATTTTTTTTTATTAAATGCTGTTTTTAAACTTCATCAGGATTCTTTAATGCTGTTCATCAAATAATCCTGAGGACAACAATGCATCACAGTTTCTGTTGTCAATGTTTTCAACATTGATAATAAAAAAATATATATATGTGATATATGTGACCCTGGACCACAAAACCAGTCATATGGGTCAATTTTAAAAAAAAATTGAGATTCATACATCATCTGGAAGTTGAATAAATAAGCTTTCCATTGATGTATGGTTTGTTAGGATAGGATTTGGCCGAGATACAACTATTTGAAAATCTGGAATCTGAGGATGCTAAAAAATCTAAATATTGAGAAAATCGCATTTAAAGTTGTCCAAATGAAGTTCTTAGCAATGCATATTACTAATCAAAAATTACGTTTTGATATATTTACAGTAGGAAATATACAAAATATCTTCATGGAACATGATCTTTACTTAATATCCTAATGATTTTTGGCATAAAGGAAAAATCAATAATTTTGATCCATACAATGTATTGTTGGCTATTGCTACAAATACACCCGTGCTACTTAAGACTGTTTTGTGATCCAGGGTCACATATAAGAGACTTCTTTCAAAAAAAAATTTTTTTTTAATAAAATAAATCTTACCTTCCCGAAACTTTTGATCTTACTACTTACTGAATACTGTGTCTATAACATCAAACAGGATTTTGCTATATTATCACATGGCCTCATTATGCTGCATATTTATTCAGTGAATAGCCTACAGTTATGATCTATATTTTTTGGCAGTCTGATTAAGAAACAAATGTGAAATCGTGACTTCTGGCTCATCAATCACACTGGAACTGGAAGGTCAAGTTGAGTGCATTGCATCGTGGTATAAACTCATACAGTGTGCTTTGTAGCATACTGCACATTTAAAAAAAATATATAGGTCATCTAGGCATAGTTCATGCATAATGAAAATTTCTGGCTGATTGTGAAGTCATTTTGAAGCTCTCCTGACTGTTTTTGCTGTATCTGTCAGTTGGGTGTCAACAGTGTGGTCCAGATGCTCCATTTATTGTTTGTTTAATTTATTGCTTTTTACATAACAGAAAATCAAGACTTCATAGTGGTTGTTTTAATAGCATGAAAAACAAAGTGGTTATTCAGACTGGGAGTAAATTATACAGAAAGTGAGCAAAGAACGCTCTCCATCTCAAGCAGTCAGTGACTTCAGTCTATTGCGAGTTATGAGTTCTCGCAAAAACTCCCATTATAATCTTCAGCTTAAGTGTCTTCACTGCAGAATGAGTCTTTTGCATCAAATCTACAGTTGATTGTTTAAGATGAGAAAATTGCCAAAAAGTGGCAGAATTCAGTGTCAGCGGTGACTAATCTAATCACTTCTGATTGGCCATAAGCTCAACAGAAATGTGTATGATTGGTTATAATGCTCAATGCTGCAAAATTGTTTTACAAATTTAATTAAAATAAATTTGATGCAACATGAGCAGATCTAAATGTAATGCCACAATAGACACTTTTCTTTCAATTTAACGCCACCCCCATATTTAGATTTTTTTTTTATTTGGGTGGCACTTTTGCCCCAAACCTCCATTAATTTCTGTTAGCACCATGCTTTTTATGAAGGAAAGTGTGAAATGTCATTTGCACTTCTGTAATGTGATCTCGTTTGTTACTATTTTTATTTTCCCCCATTTCGCCTCGATTACATCAGCAAATTAATAAAGTTAATAATGATCATTTATTTGCATTTTTTAAATTAAACGTTTGTGAAATGCACATTAAGACCAGGACATATACATATATGTACTGTATATATATATTTTTTTATTATTATTTTTTTTTTTTATTGACTTTAAAAGAAAAAAAGTCAGGTTTTTTAGTGAACTGAATGATATTAGCACGTACTGTACTTCCACTCTTTCATATAAAAGTAAGCAGGAGGTTTTTTTGCAGCTTGAATCATTAGCATAGTCCACGTTTCATATGGTGCGCTGATTGATTGAGGGTTTCAGGTTTTCTCGGAGAACACAGATAGTGCACACGACCGCTCTCCGACTTCTGTGCGTCCATGCCAAAAACATCATCTGATTATTGCCATGCGTCTGGACTCAGCGCATGAATCATATGGCTCTGTGAAAGCGCTTAGCATCAGTTCAGAGCCGTCAGTGGGAGATCCTCTCACAAAGCGTGTCTTTGTTACTGCTTCTTGCGCTCTAACACAACCCCAAATGCCCCACTGAGGCTCCCAGCTCCCCAGTGACTCGGGTACAAGCTGTGCTTTTTCAAAAACCAAATATATCCAGCCGTACATATATCCACTGTTGAAATGTATGGAGATATATATTCTTGTCGGTCTGGAATGGCACGTATCCAGAGTTAGCTAGAAGTTTGAGGTTTGTTAGGGTGCGTTTAACTGTGTGAGTGCACAGAAAATTGGTAATATGCAGCTAGATAAATGTAAAATTTATAATAGGATGCTACAGGTGTGAAGATAAATCATGTACTGTAATAATTCAAATTACATAACTTAATTGTTTTCCCACGTCCATAATGTTTTTACAGCTAAAGTGTGTAATTTTTGCAGCATTAAATGGAATTGTAATGGAAAAAACAGTGCATTGTAATTGTAATAATAATTTTTTTAACCAGTTTCAAAGCACTTCTGACTTTGAAATATGTTCTTTCTGTATATGTCAGTTGTGGTTAATGAGCTTAAAGTAAACCAGCATTTTCATCTCTTTTTTAACTCACTATTTGGGTGTACTCCATAAATTGAAAGCATTTATACATAAAATGTAATCTCAAAAGGCAAAATAAATTTGTATTTTTTGAGATGGACGCTGGTTGAAATTCATGCTTTCATGAAAACTCATGAAATGCATACTTTTTGATGCATTAAAATGGTCAAAAGTGACATAAAACACTTACATTGTTACTATATATATATATATATATATATATATATATGTGTGTGTGTGTGTGTGTGTGTGTGTCAAATCTATTTTTTTATTTTTTTTTATTAAATGCTGTTTTTAAACTTCATCAGGATTCTTTAATGCTGTTCATCAAATAATCCTGAGGACAACAATGCATCACAGTTTCTGTTGTCAATGTTTTCAACATTGATAATAAAAAAATATATATATGTGATATATGTGACCCTGGACCACAAAACCAGTCATATGGGTCAATTTTAAAAAAAAATTGAGATTCATACATCATCTGGAAGTTGAATAAATAAGCTTTCCATTGATGTATGGTTTGTTAGGATAGGATTTGGCCGAGATACAACTATTTGAAAATCTGGAATCTGAGGATGCTAAAAAATCTAAATATTGAGAAAATCGCATTTAAAGTTGTCCAAATGAAGTTCTTAGCAATGCATATTACTAATCAAAAATTACGTTTTGATATATTTACAGTAGGAAATATACAAAATATCTTCATGGAACATGATCTTTACTTAATATCCTAATGATTTTTGGCATAAAGGAAAAATCAATAATTTTGATCCATACAATGTATTGTTGGCTATTGCTACAAATACACCCGTGCTACTTAAGACTGTTTTGTGATCCAGGGTCACATATAAGAGACTTCTTTCAAAAAAAAATTTTTTTTTAATAAAATAAATCTTACCTTCCCGAAACTTTTGATCTTACTACTTACTGAATACTGTGTCTATAACATCAAACAGGATTTTGCTATATTATCACATGGCCTCATTATGCTGCATATTTATTCAGTGAATAGCCTACAGTTATGATCTATATTTTTTGGCAGTCTGATTAAGAAACAAATGTGAAATCGTGACTTCTGGCTCATCAATCACACTGGAACTGGAAGGTCAAGTTGAGTGCATTGCATCGTGGTATAAACTCATACAGTGTGCTTTGTAGCATACTGCACATTTAAAAAAAATATATAGGTCATCTAGGCATAGTTCATGCATAATGAAAATTTCTGGCTGATTGTGAAGTCATTTTGAAGCTCTCCTGACTGTTTTTGCTGTATCTGTCAGTTGGGTGTCAACAGTGTGGTCCAGATGCTCCAGTTCCTGTGGGCGGGGCTTCAGAGAGAGGCGGGTCTCCTGTCAGCAGGTGGCGGCCTCGGGGAGCATGAGGGGTTTGTCCAGCTCAGCGTGTGAAGGATCTCGTCGGCCTGAAGACAGGGAAGAGTGCAGCTCACACGCGTGTGTGGAGTGGCTCACCGGCTCCTGGGGCAAGGTACGTTTACTGCCACATTTGCATTCATTTAAACCTCTTTAATGTGGAGCAATGATATAAAATAATGTATATAATTTGTGATATTCGTTTGATATCTGGCTATTTTTGAGATCAATAGCTTTGCCCGGTAGCCAATATAGCAGATATTCGAGATATTGATATTGATGGTAACCACTGAAAACCCATACTGGTCACCAATTATAATTATTTTATATTCTGTGGATTTACTGTTAAACCTTAACAAGGCCATGCAAAACTATGAGGTTGGTAAGATTTTTTAATGTTTAAAGTCTCTTCTACTCACCTTGGTTGCATGTATTTGATTAAAAATATTGTAAAAACAGTAATATTGTGAAATATTACACACACACACACATATATATATATATATATATATATATATATATATATATATATATATATATATATATATACACACATTTATATATAAAGAGCAGGTCATATGGGTTTTTGAAAAATATCTATTTTGCAGTTTATAATTTAGCTATCCTTAAATGAAAACAATCTGCAAAGTTGTTAATCAAAAAA